GGCTATGTACCACAGTACTTTAAAGTAGCTGTAATTAAACCTCTTCTGAAAAAGCCCAAACTTGATCCGGATGTTTTAGCCACCTATAGACCTATATCTAACCTTCCATTTCTCTCTAAGGTTCTGGAGAAAGCAGTTGCTAAACAGCTGTGTGACTTTCTACAGAGCAATAGTTTATTTGAGGATTTTCAGTCAGGATTTAGAGCTCATCATAGCACAGAGACAGCACTGGTGAAAATTACTAACGACCTCCTTATTGCATCAGACAAAGGACTTGTCTGATGCAATGAGGAGGTCTTGACATAGCTAAACTTTAAATGTGCCTTCAGGATGTTAAAATCTGGATGACCTGTAATTTTCTAATGTTAAACTCAGATAAAACTGAAGTTATTGCTCTGGGGCCTAAGCACCTCCGTGACGCATTATCTAAAGATATAGTTTCCCTTGATGGCATCGCCTTGGCCTCCAGCACCACTGTGAGGAATCTTGGAGTTATCTTTGATCAGGACATGTCGTTTAAGTCTCACATTAAGCAAATTTCAAGGACCGCCTTTTTTCACCTACATAATATTGCGAAAATCAGGACCATCCTGTCTAAAAATGATGCAGAACAACTAGTCCATGCATTTGTTACTTCTAGGCTGGATTACTGCAATTCCTTATTTTTCAGGCTGCTCGAAAAAGTCCATTAAGACTCTTCAGTTGATCCAGAATGCTGCAGCACGTGTTCTGACAGGAACCAGGAAAAGAGATCACATTTCTCCTGTTTTAGCTTCTCTGCACTGGCTTCCAGTAAAATCCAGAATAGAATTTAAAATCATTCTTCTTACCTACAAAGCTCTTAATGGTCAGGCACCATCTTATCTTAAAGAGCTCATAGTACCTTACTACCCCACCAGAGCACTGCGCTCCCAGAATGCAGGGTTACTTGTGGTTCCTAGAGTCTCCAAAAGTAGACTAGGAGCCAGAGCATTCAGCTATCAAGCTCCTCTCCTGTGGAACCAGGTTCCAGTTTGGGTTCAGGAGGCAGACTCCATCTCCACATTTAAGAGTAGGCTTAAGACTTTCCTCTTTGATAAAGCTTATAGTTAGGGCTGGCTCAGATGAGTCCTGAACCATCCCTTAGTTATGCTGCTATAGGCCTAGACTGCCGGGGGATTTCCCATGATGCACTGAGCTCCTCTCTCCTCTACTTTCTCTCCCTCTGTATGCAACCTCATCCCATTATTGCATGTTACTAACACAACTTCTCCCCTTTCCGGTAGTCTTGTGCTTTCTCGTCCCTCTCCTCTCTCATCCTATCACTTCCTGCAGGTGTTTCTGGCTCTGGAGCTGTGGAGTCTGTGGTTGCGAGTCACCTGCTGCCCCCGTGTTCCTGCTCGACACCCTCTGCTACAACTAATGTTACTAGTCCTATTGTTATTATAATCATTAACATTATGATTATTATCATTAACACTACTATAAATAGCTATACCATTTTTCATTCAGTCATTTAGTCTATAGCAACATCACCTTTACTGTCTGTACCTGTGTGTATATTGTATAGGCTGCCTCCCCTCTCTCTCCTTCCATCCCTCTCTCTTTCTCTTCAAATATCACGCTCTCTTGGTGTCGGCTCCGGTAAAGGTCTCTGTGATTGTCATATACAGTGGGGGAAATAAGTATTTGACCCCTTGCTGATTTTGCAGGTTTGCCCACTTACAAAGAATGCAACGATCTATAATTTTAATCATATGGTGGGCAAACCTGCAAAATCAGCAAGGGGTCAAATACTTATTTCCCCCACTGTACCGTCTTCCAGGACAAGTGCGTAACTTTATGGATGAACTAGACACACTGCTGCCTGTAATCCCAGAGCATGACTGTCTGTTACTTGTCCTCAGTGACATGAACATTAACTTAGACAATTCAAACTCTGCAGACTTCCTGTATTAAGTCCATTGATCTAACACTTCTTCTCAGCCCCCTGACCCACAAAGCTGGCAAGGTGCTTGACCTCCTTCTTGTCTGAAACTGTGCCACCGAATGCCTTCCAGTCAAAGCTCTACACGTCTGACCACTATTTCATCCAGGTCACGGTATGCCTACAGGAACAGCCCATTGTTCCAGCACCATTTGTCTCTCACTGCCGCAACCTCCGCAACCTGTCTCCCACTCAGTTTGCCTCAGTGGTAGCCTCCGCTCTACCTCCCCTCAACAGATTTTCCTGCACAATCTCTGCGCTCTAAACTGAGCTCATACCTGGATAGCCCGTGACCTCCATCCACCAAATCTGCTCGTCTGACCCAGTCCCACCTGTGGCTAACTGATACCATCTGTGGGCTCCATACTGATCTTAGAGCTGCTGAAAGAAAATAACAAAAAACCAAAGACCCAATTGCACCTATCCTCCTTCTCAAGAAGCATCACTGCTGCCAAAACTGCATTCTATAATAACAGAATTAGCAGTGCCACTGACTCTAGGAAATTATTTTCCACTTTTAAAGCACTACTAAATCCTCCACCACCACCCACAAACTTGTCCGCTGATACCTTTGCTGCCTTCTTCACAGGCAAAGTGGCAGCTATAACTAGCCAGTTCTCTAAAACACTCAAAATCAACCAATCTATTACCGCTGTGGTCAGCTCCCACTGTGTGAGCGCGGCACAAGAAAACCTACCATGTAGCCGTCCTTATACATGTCTCTCTCCATCTCCCTTGGGAAATGGCCAAAAGGCTCAACACCAAGGCTAACATGTAGCAGCCCAGACTAAGTCTGTTCCTCTGTCATCATCGTTTACTCCTCTCATGGAGAGCGAAATATCAGAACTCCTGACCCGTACCTGTCCTACTACATGCCCACTGGACCCGATTCCTACGAATTTCCTCCAAGTCATATCTCCAACCGTGGTCCCGGCAATCACTCATATGATAAATACTTCTCTAGCTTCGGGAAAATTCCCGACCACTTTCAAAAGGGCTCAGGTTAAACCCTTGCTCAAGAAGCCCTCCCTTGACCCAACTCAAGCTGAGAACTACCGGCCAGTTTCACTTCTACCATTTTTATCCACAGCTATCAAATGGGCAGTCTTCAAACAGGTCTCAGAATTCCTCTCACAGAATGACCTAGATCCAGATCAGTCTGGTTTTAAGAGTGGTCAGCTAAAGCTAAGGTCAGCTAAAGCTGCAGCCCAATTCTCGCTTCTCATCCTGCTGGACCTATCAGCTGCCTTTGACACAGTCAATTACATGATCCTGCTATCCACACTCTCAGCAATGGGCATCTCAGGCAAAGCACTCATGTGGTTCGAATCCTACCTTTCGGAGCATTCCAACAATGTTTTGTGGCAAGGAAAATGATCTTCCTCCCACTGTCTCTCCAAAGGGGTGCCCCAAGGCTTAGTGCTATGGCCCCTCTTCTCAGTTTACAGCACCTTACTGGGGCCCATCATTCGCTCACATGGCTTCTCTTACCACTTCTATGCTGACGACACGCAGCTCTACCTATCCTTCCTGCCCGACGACCCCAGCATCTCGGCACGGATCTCAGACTGTCTCTCGGACATATCTGCATGGATGAAAGCTTGCCACCTTCAACTAAACCTCTTTAAGATAAAACTCTTGGTCATTCCAGCCAGGCAATCTATCCACCACACCATCACACTATAAATTGACTGCTCAACTATCACTCCAACGAGGGTGGTGAGAAACTTGGGTGTCATGATTGATGACCAGCTTTCCTTTTCAGACTATGTTGCTGCTGTCTCTCGGTCATGCCGCTTTGCTCTATACAACATAAGGAAAATCAGGCCCTACCTCACTTAGTATGCTACCCAGTTTCTGATACAGGCCATGGTTATCTCTCGCCTTGACTATTGCAATGCCCTTCTAGTAGGTCTTCTAGCCTGTGTGGTAAAACCCCCACAAATGGATCAGAATGTAGCAGCGCATCTTGGTTTTGATCAGCCCAAAAGGCAAATGTCACTCCATTACTGAGTGACCTCCACTGGCTACCCATGGCCAAATTCAAGTCACTAATGCTTGCATACAGAGCTACTACTGGGTCTGCACTTATCTACCAAAACTCCATAATACAAGTTTACGTTCCTTCTCGATCACTACGCTCCTCCAACGAATGCTGTCTGGCTTTGCCATCCCTACACAGAATGCAATCTCCGTCCCGGCTGTCCTCATCCGTGACACCACGATGAACTTCAAGAAGCTCAAATGTAAGTCACTTTGGATAAAAGCGTCTGCCAAATGAGTAAATGTAAATGTTTAGGCCCCCAAAATTGTGATTACTTTGCAGGAAATTTTTTTTCCTTCTGTTCCAATGGGGACCTCGTATGTTTCATGCTCGGTCCCTAACTAAATATATACTCTTTCTCTTCCAAGTCCAGAAAACAACATTTGGATGAGCTTAAAATTAGGACACTGGATGGTACTGTTATAGAACATGTCCCATCATACAAAAACCTTGGTATTGGGCTGGATTAACACATTACTTTTATGACCGTGTTTCAACGGGACAATTTAAAGCAATGCGGAATAACCACTTTACTGACCAATGTAATTGTTACCTGTAAATTCTGTTTTGTTATTTATTTTGTTCTGTTGTTCTGTTTTTATATTTGTATCTGTTTGTGTGCTGTACACAGAGCTCCGCTGTAAGAGAGATCCTGGTCTCAGTCTGATTCTCTGTATGAATAAAGGTGAAAGAAAAATAAGTTAACTGCACTCTTCTGGGGATATAATAACATGTTCATATAAAATATAAATAATAAATATAAGCATAAACTTGCTAGCTTTTAACATGTACGAGTGCTGTTAGCTTTTAGTTCAAACACAGCAGTGTCTAAGTACAGCCTCTCAGAGAAGGTAGCATGGCTTTAGAACCTTGTGATAAGGTTGCTTTACTGATTTAGTCAGTGTATTATTTGTTTATTCAAAGGCAGTATCTGATGGACACAGCAGGATACTCAGAAGATCTGCCGTGTGTTGGTTTATGTGTTTGCAGACTGTCCGCCTGCCTGATCACAGAGGAAGGATGTGCTTCTCTGGCCTCAGCTCTGAACTTCAACCCTTCCCATCTGAGAGCTCTGGACCTGGGCTTCAATTATCCCGGAGACTCCGGAGTGAAGTTGCTGTCTGCCGGACTGGATGATCCACACTGGAGACTGGACACACTCAGGTATGAAGAGGCACAGAGATAGAGGTACAAAGAGTCAGTCTGATAGAGGAGGTCTTTTTGGTTAAATGTGGATATTAGATTAGATTCAACGTTATTGTCATTGCGCATGTCACTGGTACAAAGCAACGATATGCTGATAGCATCTAACCAGAAGGTCTTAAGCAGTAATTAAATGATATATGATACATTAATATACAAGTGCAATATATGAATGATATATAAATATAAATATGTCTACACAAATGTCTATTATTACAGGTAGGTACAGGCTATGAACAGGTTATGACTATGGTAGTATGATATGAGAAACTATACAGTATGTACAGTAGTGAAATGTAATTATTGATGAGATTATACAGTATGTACAGTAGTGAAATGTAATTATTGATGAGATTATACAGTATATACAGTAGTGAAATGTAATTATTGATGAGATTATACAGTATGTACAGTAGTGAAATGTAATTATTGATGAGATTATACAGTATATACAGTAGTGAAATGTAATTATTGATGAGATTATACAGTATGTACAGTAGTGCGGCAGTAGGGAATAACTAACAGCATCAGGAAAGATCATCTACCATCCAGAGGGCCGGTTGCTCCGCGGTCTCCTGTCATTCAGCGCCCCACTCCCTCTCCGGTACCTACAATGGGTTGTGTCGCTAGTACAACTGACACACTGTGAACGGTTCGTGATCGTTCCCTCTGGCTGGATGAATTTTACGCATGATCCATGCAGTACTGCAGCTGTGGGCTCTCTGTAGCGCCATGCATGGGATTGAACCGCTGACCTTCCAATTAACAGGCAACCCGCTCTACCTCCTGAGCCACAGTCGAGCATATTGGTTTGGTTCAGACGTGCACGAAGGGGAGGGGCTAATCACAGACAAGTTTGGTGTAAATGTGTTAGTGCGAGAGCGAACACTGTCATATTGTGTTGATATTTCGGCAGGCCGTCAGGGCATTGTCCTGGTCCATTGTTGTGTAGAGACAGCTGAGCCAGAAGGCAAAACTTTTACTAGTCTATCTGGGTTCAAAAAAAGTACCGTCTAGAGCAGGGATCGGCAACCTTTTCTGTGATGAGTGTCAATATACAAAGATGAAGTCATCGAGTGTCCCAGCAGCGTTAATGCACGTCATTTATTTTTAATGTATGCATTGATAGTTAGTCAGATTTTAATTTAAATTTGACCAGACATTTAATAAATAGGTCTGTCAAGCGATTAAAATAATTAATCTTATTAATTACAAGTTTTGCAACTTGTTTGTAGTTTTGTCATAAATCGAATGAATCGAATGAATCAAAATGAATCACAAATATCGATATTTGCTATGATAAGGATTTAAAATATTCTTTATTTAGTCGTCTAAATTCAAATTTTTTCACTTTATTTGTTGTCTCTGTTGCACTTGTCACACAAACCGGATGGAAAGTTAACTCCTTTGATCAGCACCATTGAGCCAAATGAGCACAAATGAGGATCAGTCCAAGTTGGGAGGGGCCACTTGTATCCCCCCTCAAAATTGAATGTTTTAGTTTGGCCCAGTCTCACAGACACACACAGACAGTGTTCCGCTTTCCGGCCGGTCGTCCAGCCCGGTTGCGGATCAAAAGTACTACGATTAATCCTGCATTGACATATAAGGCGTTTTTTTTTTCTAAATTTCTATTATTTTGACAACCCTAATAATGATAATGTCAAAATTAATTAATCATGGTGGTTGATAATTTTCACTAACTTAATGTATTATTAGTTTGCTTTCTCATGTGCCACTTAAAATGTCTCCGCATGCCAACGCTGGTACGCGTGCCACAGGTTGCGACCACTGGTCTAGAGCTATCAGAAGTGACCAAAAGAACAAAATCGCTGAAAGTGAGCGAACTGAGTTTCCACGTGATGCATTGAAAGGAGTCTTTTAGGTGTTTGAGCATCTGACAGGGATGCCTCCAGGGCACCTTCCTTTGGAGGTTTATGAGCATGATGTACCAGTAGGAGACATCTTGCCTGGGAGCGCCTTAAAATCCCCAAGGGGCAGCTGGGGAGAGGCACAGTCCCCTCAAAGTATTAGAACGGTAAAGCAAATTCCTTTGTTTTTGTTGTTCACTGAAGACATTTGGGTTTAAGATCAAAAGATGAGACAAGAGTTCAGAATTTCAGCTTTCATTTCCTGGTATTCACATCTAGATGTGTTAAACAACTCAGGACATAACACCCTTTGTTTGAACCCACCCATTTTTCAAGTGAGCAACTACTGGAACATGTGACTGCCAGATGTTTCTTGTTGCCCAGGTTTTGCCTTTTAGGTTGACTGTCCAAACATTAAATAGCTCTGCATGACTAATCTAAGTTTTCATCCTTGGTTCAAACCTGTAAAGACTGCATTTCCTGTTAAAGAGGATAAACCAACATGAAGACCAGAGAGCTGTCTGTGGGAGAAAAGCAAGCCACTGTCAAGCTGAGAAAAGAAGGAAAATCGACCAGAGCCATTGGACAAACACTGGGCAGAGCAAGCACAACAATGTGGAACGTCCTGAAAAATGAAGAAACTACTGGTGTACTGAACAACAGACGTGGAACAGGTTAACCAAGGAAAACAACAGTAGTTGATGACATCAGGAAGTGACATCAGCAACGACCTCCACAGTGCAGGGTGAAGGTATCACAATCCACTGTTGGAAGAAGACTCAGAGAGCAGAAATATAGAGGCCACACCACGAGATGCAAACCACTCATCAGCAGGAAGAATCGGAAGGCCAGAGTGAAATTTGCAAAGAAGTACAGAGATAAGCTGCAAAAATTCTGGAACACAATGTGATGGACTGATGAGACCAAGATTAATCTCTACCAAAGTGATGGAAAGGCCAAAGTGTGGAGAAAGAAAGGAACTGCTTCTGATCCGAAGCATACAAGCTCATCTGTGAAGCATGCTGGAGGTGATGTCATGGCTGCTTCTGGAACAGGCTCATTAATATTTATTGATGATGGAACTGATGATGGTCGCAGCAGAATGAATTCAGAAGTGGACAGAAACATTTTGTCTGCCAATTTATGGAGAAATGCATTGAAACTAATGGAGAGGAAGTTTATCCTGCAGCAGGACAATAAGCCAAAGCACACTGGCAACAAAACAAAGGACTTCATCAGTGGGAAAAGTGGAAGGTTTCAGACTGGCCCAGTCAATCAGCTGACCTTAACCCAACAGAGCTGCATTTCACCTCCTTAAGAGGAGACTGAAGGGAGAAACACCCCGAAACAAACAAGAAGTGAAAGAAGCTGCGGTTAAAACCTGGAATAGCATCACAAATTAAGAATGCAACAGTTTGGTGATGTCGATGGGTCGCAGGCTGGAGGCAGTTATTGCAAGCAAGGGTTCTGCCACCAAATATGAAATGTTATTTTACTTATTTGTTCCAATACTTTTGCTCACCTAAGAATGCTGTTGTCTAATACAAACGGTTGACATGTCCTGAGTTGTTTAACACATCTAGATGTGAATACCAGGAAATAAAAGCTGAAATTCTCTTGTCTCATACTCATCTTTTGATCTGAAATCCAAATGTCTTCAGTGAACAACAAAAACAAAGGAATTTGCCTTACCGTTCCAATACTTTTGGAGGGGACTGTAAGTCTGGAACCCTGGTTGGCCTGCTGCCATCATGACACAAACCTGGATAAGCAGAAGATGATGAAATGATGGATGGATGGAAGAATGGATGGATGGATATTTGCCATAATTATTATGGTTATCCTGATAGTATTGATTTCTGCTGTAATATACATCATAGTGATCAATTCAACACCAAAATATAGGAACATCAAAATGCCCAAAACATCCCAACATATGAAATGATGCTGCTTCCAACAGAAAAAGGTTCTCTGACACTTTTGAGATTTTGGAAGTAAACATTTACGGTCACTTGGTTCTCTGGCAGAGGTCAATAACAAAACCTTCTTTTGAAGTGGGACTAAGACGGGATGATCCAAAAAGAGTTTGTGTCTGCTATTAGATGTTGTCCCCCTCTTCAAACATCAACATCCTGTGGGTCAGGGAGAAGCACACCAGATGCGCATATTGTGTAAATGCAGAGGTGGAAAGAGTACTAAAATACTTTAAACTTTTACTTAAGCAAAGTAAAATTACTTAGATAAAAATCTACTCAAGTAAAAGTAAATATTAGCTCATTCAAAATTTACTCAGACTAAACGTTACTTAGTTACTTTTTTAACCTCCTAAAATAAGTTGCAGTGTTTTGTGATTTGATAAGGGAACAAAGCCATATTGCTCTTATTGATTTTAGCTTATTTGGCATATACTTTGCCAAAGCAATGGTGCAAAACAATATTAGAGAACTTTTATGTTATGAGAAGTTCTGAGAATGTTTTCCTTCATTATGAAACTGTAGCGGAACAGATTAGCTTCTAGCGGGCCGCACTGGACTGTATATGAAGTCAGTACAAGTATTATGTAACTTACCTCTACATGCTTGCGCAGGTTTGATGTCAAGTTTTTATAAGCTGCTAGTTAGATCCCTCTGGGTAAACAGTGCATAATAAAGCTGTTGCCTTTCTTGCAGTTGAAGCCGAAGTGGTCGCAAATTTTTCCATGCATTTTATTTTACTCAGTAACAGATGTGATTTAAAATGTAGTGAAGTAGAATAGTTTAAACAAAAGTATTAAAAAATTTAAATTACAGACTATAAATACTACTTTAAAATGTACAAGTACACAAAAACTAATAAATTACAATAAATAAAACAAGTTATTGTAGTTCATTCATTTTCACCTCGGTGTATGTTTGTATAAGAGGAATGTAATGTCCATGTTTGATGCTGCTCTGACCCTCCTCCTCTTTTCAGGGTGGAGCCTGCTGGAGTCCGATGGTTGAGACCAGGTCTGAGGAAGTGTAAGTGTGTTTTTCATTTGATTCATGAAAACAAAGCAACACATTCAACCATCTTCAGACTGTGACATCACTCATTCAAAGTGCCAATCAA